CTTTCGAAAAAAATCGTATTTTTTTTTAGACGAATCTCCGAAATTATAAGAGATAGAAAAAAATTTTCAAATTGAAAGTTAAATGGTTTCAAGAATACTTTACAACAATGACAAAAAATGTTATTTTTTTAATTTTTCAAAATATTCTTACCACTAAACATTTTTTTCTAATTTTGAAATTTCTTTATCATCAAATGAAAGGTTATTTTTTTACGAATTTAATCATATATGATTAAGTTATGTTTCAAAAAATCATTTTCCGGAATTAATTATAAATTTTTCTGTAAATATGTTATTCGTGTCCGTCCATATGTTCGATTTCTCGCGATACATCCTGTTTTTCTATAATAAAAGATAATCAATACATATGAAACACATTCTATGTAATTATCGGAAGTTTTAAGTGTTAAACATTTATAATGTTAAACACACATTGAAATATATAATAAATATTATACATCAAGATACAAAAATCAAATATAAATCAAATATCTGAAGCAATCTATTGGAATAACAGTAAATGTTGTTGTTTTGCGAGCGTTAGTTTAATGCGTGACATCATTTAATGGTGTTAATCGGTGCGTGTGATCTTGTAAAGTAAAGGAGAAAAGAAGAAATATACTGCAAATATAATAAGGAATAATTTGAAACAGATGAAGAAGATTCTCTTGATTTTTAAAATTCTTTTGATATATTGAAACAGATATTGATCTTGATATTGATATCTATATTGATATATAGAAACAGAACTAACAGAAGAAGGAAATGAAGAACAAGAAGCATAATATTATGTAAAGGAAATTAAATGAAATAAAATAAATGATACTATCCCAATTGAATATAAAAAAAGTGCTGTTGGATTTTGGAAATCTGCTATTTCATGCTTATTGTATTTATGGCATTCAAATAAATATTTTTTTTATTCTTTAAGTGACAAGCATGTATATCTATTTCATATCTCCTTTTGAAATTTTTTCGTTCTTCGTTAGAGATTATTTAATAAAAAGATGAACATTTTATGTAATGTATAAACGACGTCTTTATTTTTTCCACAAAAGTTATAAGAAGTACCAAAAAATTTCTTCAATGTTCTAAAAAAACAAAAATTTATGTCATAATTGTAATTTTACAAAGACATAAAAATAAAATCGTAAAAGAAATATAAATAAATAGACATATTTAAAATATCAATAAATACTTACAAAAGCACACGTGCCGATTAATAATACATCATTAAACGATCTCACACGGAAAAATTTATCTAATAGATATCTAATAAATATCTAAATGTTTATATGAGGTACATATATAGATAACTAGTAGATGTAAAATATGTAATTTGCAATTAATAATTACATATTTTTTCTTAAAAATAACTATGTGTTTTTTTACACCAATTGATACCTCTCATTATTTTGTACAAAGTATAAAGGTAAGATAATTGAAAAATTAATATTTTACAAGTATTTTACGGTTTATGTAAAATTAAGAAATAATTTCAAGCCTCATAACTCGAAAAATATTTAATGAAAACTAATTGAAACTTAATGAAAATTTAATTATAGTGTTTTGGAAAACTCACGACTTCAGCTATAAGAATATGTAATAAAAAATAGGGATTGCTATTTAAAATTTTTATGGTGACCTTGACTGCGCTTTTCAAGCTCATTTCAAGATCAAATATATACCATCAGCTAATAGATTTTTTAAGCCATTTTTGTCTGTCTAAACCATTTCAAAAAAATAATATTTTCTGAAATATTTATCCGGAACTCTTGCCCTACCCTGTATGATATATATCTACAAGGTATTGTAGATACATATTATACAGGGTGAAGTCACAGGGGAAAAGTCTGGAAACGGTCAAATATCTCGAAAATGAAACATTTCTGAGAAAAAAGTTTCTAACCAAAGTTGTAAGGTTTTAAAAGTTCTATTCAATGATCATATCCGTTTGACTTTGAGTGGAGGGAGTAAATGATATGATTTTTTCTAATGAAAACCCCAATTTTTTATTACACATTCTTGTCTCTCATCTCGAGAGCTACAAGAATATGTAATAAAAAATTAGGGTTTCCATTTTAAAAAATTATGTTGGCCTTGACCTCGCCTTGACCCCTCCACTCAAGGTCAAACGGATGTGATCATTGAATAGAACTTTTAAAACCCTACAACTTTGGTTCGAAACATTTTTCTCAGAAACGTTTCGTTTTCGAGATATTTGACCGTTTCCAGACTTTTCTAACACCCTGTATATACATAACATTGAAAGAATATCTATCTAAAAATAAATATTAATATACATGTAATAAATGTATTTATTGTATATAAATATCGACTGAATGTTATACGGATATTTGCAGGATATTAGTGTACAGAATATGTATTCTGTATCCAGATAGCCAAATCTGTTAGAACAGATTTTCGTCAAATGCCCATTACAAATTTTAAAGGCAGAAAGATTACAGTTTGTATAAAGAAACTGATATATTCGATTATGTTGCTAGCATTTCAGCAGAAATACAACAAAATCTGTTCACATGACTAAACAAAAGATTATCAACAGAAACGAGCAGAACTTGTTGATATAACTGACGACAGATTGATAGCAGAAATTGAATAGAATCTGTGCGGTGCAATTTGACAACAGATTGTTGGCAGAAACCGAGCATGATCTGCGCAATGAAATTTGATTGTCGGCAAATATCGAGTAGAACCTGCTGATATAATTGATGGTAGATTTTATGGCAGAAATTGAAGGATCTGTGGGGCGCAATTTGATAGCAAATTGATAACAAAAATCGAGCAGAATCTGCGCAATGTCAAATTATCGGCAGAAATCGAGTAAAAGCTACAAATATAACTGATGGCAAATTGATGGCAGAAAGTTAACAGGATCTGTGCGGCGCAATTTGATAGCAAATTGATAACAAAAATCAGACGGAATCTGCGCACACAATCTCTGATAGCAGATTGACGACAGAAACAGGGTTTGCATGATTCGGTAGTTCCTTTACTTACCGCTACGTGAGCTGTACTTTCTCGTAATTGAATTTCTGTCAGAAATATATATAAAGTCGCGAATATGAATAAAAGACTAAAAATATAGTAATTATCATTTTAATTTCTATCACTTTAATTTCTGATATCTGATACAAGCAAATGAGAGTCAGAATATTAAACTAATTGGAATCAATATGATAAATGGAAAATTATTCATGTACTGCCTATTTGAGGCATAAAGCAAGAATTTAATTCTAAATAAATTACATCTCCAGTTTTACAAGTTACATTTACTTTTATCATTTACTTTATTATTAATTTAATTAAATTGAATTGGTCCTTCAACATGAGATATAATTACGATATAACATATATTACATTAACATATATTACAATATAACATATGACATATATGTCATTTTAGAAGAAAATTGTAATTAATTTGCCGATAATATTCTTATTTAGCACCTGTAATAATCAATTTTGTTGCATTTATATAACATAAATGAAAGTAAGCGCAAATCTTGTGTAGTTTCCGCTATTAATTTTCCATCAGATTGCATGCGCAGAGTCTGCTCGGTTTCTGCTGACAATCTGACATCAAATTGCATCGCGCAGATTCTGCTGAGTTTTTGCCGACAATTTGTTGATAGGTTATGTTTTATAGACTCTCTGCCCGCCAAAACAAAAGCTTAATGCGGACATAGATGGTTACGGTTCTGGTGTGGGATTCTGATTGAATTTGTTGCAATCTACTACCAATCTGCTGACATTTTACTTACTGGGTAGATATTTATGAATCCTTGAATTGCGGAATTTGGATATCTACAGCATCTCTAATAACAATTTTTCGTATAATCGTGGATATAGTTTCAATGCCCATGAAGAATATCTAGTGGATATCTAATACCAATTATTTTCCATATGGGGATATTACGCATTAAGCATTTGCAAAACAACAACCTCTTACTATTACTCCAACAAATTGTTTCAAAAAATATATTTATATTTGATTTTTGTATCTTGATGTCCGATATTTAGTATATATTCAAATGTTATTTTTAAATGTTATTTTTATTTTATAAATATCTAGTACGATAAAAACTTCCGATAATTACATAGAATATGTGTTTTATATGTATTTATTAGTTATCTTTTATTACGGGAAAACAGGATATGTTGCGCGAAGAATCGAGTGCATGGACAAACACGAATAGCGTATTTACAAAGAGATATAATTAATTCTGGAAAATGATTTTTCGAAACATAACTTAATCATATATGGTTGACTTTGCAAAAAAAATAACTTTTTCTTTAATGATAAAGAAATTTAGAATTAAAAAATGTTTAATTTCAAAGGTATTTTGAAAAATTAAAAAAAGATAAACTTTTTTGAAAAATTATAAAAAAAACATTTTTTTGTTATTGTTGTACTCTTGAAACCATTTGTACCATTGATAATTTTTAATATGAAAAATTTTTCCTATCTCTTATAGTTTTGAAGATTCGTCTTGAAAGAAAAAAAACCGAACCTTTCTTTCAAAAAACTGTTTTATCTCTTATATCCGTATGGATACGTGTAAAAAAATATGTATCTCTTATTTTTGTCTATAAAACAACATACTAAATGCTCAACAAAATTGGAGAACATTTCTGGACATTTCCTTGTGAATTGAAACAAACCTTCGTACATGCCTTTTTTCATTTGTTGTACTTTTAGAGAAAAATTCATTTATAGATTATAATACGTCACTTCTTGTGTACAGATGTATCTTCAATTTTTAAAGTTTTTTCTTACTTGTATGAAGAAATTCTAACCTGTGTCTATTTTTAATATATTTTATACATATTTTACACATATGTGTTACTTTTCATATATAGTTTTCTCTTTCTGTTATTGCAACAATTATGGGAAATAGGTGTATACTATAGTATGTAAGATAATTATATAAGAAAGTATAAATTTATTACAGCATTTTTTTATATTTATGATATAGGTAAAGATTGGCAATGGATGCCAGAAACAAAGAACAGCACATATTTGAAAATTTTAAGCCGCTTTGAAGATAAAAGAGCTGCTGCTTTTTCCATTCATCAAATTGCATTAATGGGTGCATCAGAAGGAAAGGAAGTAGGACAATGGTTTGGCCCTAATACCATTGCACAAGTATTAAAGTATGAAATATATGAATATATACTTTTATATATACGAATATATTGAAAAATTTTAATTTAGTTATATTTTAATTTATTTAAATAAACACTACAAGAATGAAACTTTACAAGAATTAAAAAGTTTGCGCAGTAATAATATAAATTACTTACAAATTGTATTTGAGGAAAAATATGTGAACCTCTAACTAGTTCTTGTCACTACGGTAAAATAAAAAAAATGAATTAATAAAATTATTAGAATTAAGAACTATTTAGAAGTTTTTGAACCCTGCAGTTAAAAATGTTGAATTTGTTATCCGAAATAAAACTTTAAATTTTGTGTTGAGGAAAGTATTTGAGGTGGAATCTATTCAGTTTTATTTCTTAAAACTTAAAATACTAAATTTAATTTGATAATGAAATGGAAAGCTATTTAAGAGCTTTTAAATCCATATATTATAGTTTAAATTTTTGAACTGCAATTCCTCGGTAGGAGAATCACATTTTCAAGATACAAAAAGAGCTCTTAAGTTCATATAGTTTAAGTTTTTAAGCTATAATTCTTCGGCAGGAATACCACATTTTTAACCACGATTCAAGATAGAACTATATTTAAAATGTGATAAATTTATTATCTTTCACTGATAATTCCGTCTAGATTTAAAAGTACATAACACATAAATTTTTAAGCTATAATTTTTGCCAGAAGAATTATCCTAATTGTTCTTCATATAGGAAAGAATGTTTAAAACGCAATAAAGGACCCTGACACTTATGGAGAATTGTTCCTCAAAAAATTTTGTTCAAACATTAAAATTTTGCAATTTATGTGACACTGAACAAAAATCTCAATGAGGCACAATTTTCTAGTTTAATCTACAGAGAGAAAGTTAGTAAATGTTGAAAGTTGATGATTTTTAGACATTTTGCGAAAATTATCATATTTGCAACTCTCTGTCAACTGAAACATCCCAAGATTTATCACTTGAAGATGTCTATATTTCGAGTCATAAGATGTGTGTATGGTTCTTTATATGTTAGATTTCAAATATGATTAATTACTTTTGTATTATTATTAATTATCTTTTAAAAACTGTGAGTTTTGTAAAGTAAAAGAATATATACAGGGTGTCCACCGTAATAATCGCCTAATTTTTCATGCGTAGCTACAACAAGTAAATTGTGAGTAGGAAAGTCCTCTACCATTTTGCGAACTTCGCAATAATTAATTAGATATTGACTTTATAAAATTGATCAACCTGCGTAAGTAGAAGCGTACAGACAAAAAAAGTCCGCGGCACGCTTCAACGTTATGTTTGGTAAACTCCACTCACCGCTTTGCGGCTCACGCGTCTAATATCAGGTTATAAAAGGCTCCTATCATCACGCATTTACAATATATTCACACGCATTGGCTAATCTTTTTAAATTAATATCTAATTAATTATTGCAAAGATCAGAAAATAGTAGAGAACTTTCCTACTCAGCTTAATCCGCTCTATCTCCTCCTCTGCTTGTATATAATACTCTGGGACACACACTGTGTGTGTATGTGTGTGTGCGTGCGTGCGTGCGTGCGTGCGTGTGTGTACAGGGCAGACTATTTTAATCAATACACGCGAATATCTCAGAAACACTGCATTAAATCAAAAAATGTTTCAGACAAAAGTTGTATGGTTTGAAAGAGGCCGTAAGATGGTGTCATTGATTTGACCTTGAAAAGTCGTTTGAAGGTCACATGTTACCTCCAATTTTTTAAATGGGATATTCTATATTCTTTTGCACATTCTTGTAGCTTGCCTCAAGAGCTTTCAAAAACACTAATAAAGTATTTTTTCATTGAGTACTTTTCGAGTTATGAGGCTTAAAATAATATGTTAATTTTACATAAATCAAAATATTTAATAGAATATTCATTTTTCAATTATCTTACCTTAATACATTTATGCACAAAATAATGTGAAAAATCGATTGATGTAAAGAAAAAACATAGTTATTTTTGAGAAAAAATATGTAATTATTAATTGCAAATTAGATATTTTTTCTCTGAAACAATTATGTGTTTTCATTACACCAATCGATTCCTCTCATTATTTTGTGCATAAATGTATTAAGATAAGATAATCGAAAAATGAATATTTTATTAGATATTTTACGGCTTATGTAAAATTAAAAAATTATTTCAAGCCTCATAACTCAAAAAGTACTCAATGAAAAAATATTTTATTCTAGTGTTTCAGAAAGCTTTTGAGACAAGCTACAAGAATATGTAAAAGTAGAGTGTCCCATTTAAAAAGTTGGAGGTGACCTTCACGTTACTTTCAGATAACTCTTCAAGGTCAAATTAATGGCACCATCTTATGTCTCCCTTATTATATGTCTGCCTTTAAGCCATACAATTTTTGTCTGAAACATTTTTCGATTTAATGCAGTGTTTCTGAGATATTTGTGTGTAATTTTTAAAATGGTATATCCTGTATATACTGGGTGTAACTAAAAAAGCGCTCATGGAGCAAATTACGTTATTAATGATTAAAAATTGAGTCGAAAAGTTCTGAACACTTTATAATACTTCATAAAACGGTAATTATTGAATAAAGTTGCGTCAATAAGCCAAAATTCACAATTTTAAAATTAACAGAGGCACTTTTAGAAAAAACGTTTGATACAAAAGTTTCTTGTTTTTTCACGTACAATTCGAATCTGTAATAAAAAGTATCATGTTCCCCTAAAAAATTTCAACTTCCGATACAGATTGCGTATTTTTGGTCGGAATCAAAAATTGAAAATATCACCATTTGAGCGTACCCGATTTACTTAAAAATTGTTCGCGATTTTTGATAAAAGCCATTTATTTTTATTTTAAAAGGAGTATACGGATGGTCTGGGACACCCTGTATATATTCTTGTATTATTAATTATAATTTATAGATTTATAATCACAAATAAAAATGCAATATTTAATATAAAAAACATAAAAAATTAAAAAAGCTTTTAATAGTATATTTTCAAAAATATTACAAGTTGCTCGAAAAATGCTTAAATAAAATTTGCTAGGATAAAATTTAAAATTTGTTTCATAATAAATTATAAAATTCTGTTTTTTCTAATTTTTTTCTTTGGTTGAAAATCTATTGATTTTCTGATTAAATAGTACAAAAAATTGGGTGCTTTTTTGCTTTTAATTTAATTTTATATAACTGTACATTTTATATACAGTGTGTTTTATAAGTGGTAAGCAAAATTTCAGGAATGGATTCTTTATGCTTAGAGAAGAAAGAAAGTTAATCAATATAGGTCCGGAAATGATTAGTTTTTGAGTTATTAAGATTTTGAACAATTAGAGGAAATGTTCAATATTTCCACCTCTTGTCACAATACAAGCCTCAGCTCGTCGTCTCATTGAGTCCCGAACACGCTCCTAAATTTTTGGGTATGCAATTGTAAACAAGAATAAGAATAATACCGCGCTAATGTAAACATAGGTTACCGAATTTGAAAAAATTGTTGATGCCTATAAAAAGACTTTTAAGATGAGAAATGAGACAAAATTTTGTATTACAAAAATCCTAATAAATCAAAAACTCATCATCATCAAAACATCATTTCCGGATGTATGTTGATTAATTTTTTTTCTTCTCTAAGCATGAGTGTTGGGTTGGTGGTTATTGCGTGCGAAATAATATAGTCACCACATGAACTATATTAATAGAATATATATATTTGACACATGAACAATTCAATGCATTAAAGAAAAAACAGTTTTTATGTCTCTTGCCTTTATAACGCGAACAGAAAATTCCCTTTTATACAACGTGACGAATATTACATGCACATGGCAGAACGGCAGCAGACTCTATCTCTTACTTAATTAATTGTTAACTGTTAAGGATGTGATTAATCGATAAGTTACTGTCCGTTTTATCGACCGTAGAAATATGATGCTCAACAATGAGGAATCCATTCCTAAAATTTTGCCCACCACTTATGAAACACTCTGTTATACTTCATTTCAAACTTTTATAATAATTTTAACTTTTTATTATGTATATTTTTTCAGAAAATTAGTCGTATATGATGAATGGAGCTCCATCACTATACATGTTGCACTAGACAATACATTAATAATTAATGATATTTGTAAGTATGCAGTTATATCAAAGTCTCCTCTTTCTAAGTTAAGCAAATAAATAATAATAATAATAATAATAATAATAATTATTATTATTATTATTATTATTATTATTATTTAGATATTTAAGTAACTAATTATATTGAACAAATTAATTATACACTACATATTGTCATGGATTTATTGTACATTTGCTATCAAAATAGAATGTGTTGTGTTTCTTGTTAGTTTTGTATAATGTCTAAGGCCGTTGTGCCTTATTATTATGTCTTCAATACGCGAACAGTTCGAAGTAGTAATAGAAGATTCAAGCACGTCGTTTATGTTTCGTTCACGTCGACCACATCCATGCTTCTCCGACGGTCTATCTTTCGATCGTCTCTTAAGACGTTTTCTTAGTGTCGTGTGCACAGTCGTACCGTGTGCATAATCGTGCCGTGTTATGTGCTATGCTATGTGCTATGTCGCCTCTGCGCCTTGTCGTGCGAGCAATCGCTTTTGGTCGCGCAGTTCGTCAATCAGTAGCGTAGTGCTTAGCGCCTGGCCCAAAAGACGTAATATACCCAACATTCCTCCTTTGCTTAAGAATGCTGTTTTCAGTAGGGGCGAGTTCCTCCCATCGCCTTGTAATCTGGTCGAATTCGATATGAAAGACGTTCAGAACGATGAGCAAAAGCTTCTGAGGGTTGTGTGGTCCCGTTGTTGAAAGGTTTTGCCTCTTCTCTTTCTTCTAGCAAAGTGTGAAATACTGGATCTGGTTGAATCCGTGCTGGTTCTTTTCGGAGGGAGTAGATCTTCGCTAATCGTATTCGATTTCTTTTCCTATCTCTTTGGACGATTCCATATTTGATTGAAATGTCTAGTAATGAATTCTCCTTCAATGCTGACGCGAGCGAATGCTGTCCCTATCAACCTAACAATTTTTCCAGGAATACGCTGTCCATTGAAGAGTTGAATTAGTACCGATTGATTTGTAGCAAATGAACGGTCTTGCATCGTGATGAGCGTCAAATTGTTGTTTCATTTGCTTCTGCCGAGAAGTAAGATTTAAATCAGGTTTTTCGGTTGCAGTAAAAATATCTAATGGAGTTCTAAGCTTACATCTAAAGAATATTTCTGCCGGAGACTTATGATCTGGTACCGCATTATTGGGTGTGTAGTTGTATGCGTAAACAAATTTGTTTAATTCCGTTTCTTACTGTGAACTTTAATTTGTGTCTATAGAATTTTTCAAAGTTCTGACCATTCTGTCGGCTTGACCATTTGATTGTGAATGCCCAGGAGGGGTACGCAGGTGAAGGATTCTAAATTCGGCGCACAGTTGCGTGAATTCCACTAAAGTGAATTGAATATCGTTATCTGAAACTTCAGGAGGTCCATATCGATTAAAGATTCTTCACAGATATCAACATATTGCTGCCGATGTTATTGTTGAGAACCGTCCTATTTCCACGAATTTGGTATAGCTATCGACAATGACGTATACCCATTGTCCGTATATCGGGTCTGCGAAATCAGTGTGAAGACGTAACCATGATTTCTCTGGATTTGGCCATGGATGTATGTAATGGTTCTTTTACTGGGTTGCTTGCTGTGCGATCGCAATGATTACATTCTTTACGTATTTCTCCATGTCATTATGCATCGCCAACCAATAGAAATAACGTCGAGCAAGCTATATCATCCGGCGAATGGCACCTGGATGTGCAATGTGTAATTGCTTCAGTGCAGTAGATTGTAGACGTTTAGGAATTATTAGTTTCTCATCTAGAACTAATGTATTATTAACTATGGCTAAGTAATCGCAACGACGATAATATGGCATTAACTCTTTGTCAGTTACGTCCGATTGGGCCATATGTTTTGTAGACGATCTATAACCTTAGCGAGAATTCCATCGCTGAATGTCGCACTTTGGAACTCTTATCGAGCCGTTGAAGGTAACTATACTGATTCGTTGACAGTATGTTGTAGCTTTGTATCTGTTTCCTGTAGCGCAGCTACAACTTCTTCGAGGTCAGCGTCTATTACATCTTGTTTTACATCCTGTATTAATCTTGAAAGAGCATCCGCTTTAACAAAATTTTTTAGTGTTGACATACTCTATGTCGAAGTCGTATCCCAATTAGTCGAAGAGCCCATCGTTTCAAACGATTTGCTATACGTGTATCTAGATCTTTTGTATTCTACGTTTTTTAAACAGGGCTAGAAGTGGACGATGATCCGTTTGTAGCACAAAATGATGGCCATATACGAATTTTCGGAAACGTTTAATTGCAGTGACTAATGTTAAAGCTTCTTTTTCAATTTGGCTGTAATTTTGCTGATAATTTTGCCTTTGTCAACACTTTTGACATGTGGAAGACTGCTTTTACCTGACCATCTGGAACTCTCTGTAACAGGATGCCACCAATTCCGATCGAACTAGCGTCTGCTGCTGTCAGAGTTTGTCTGGGATCGTAATGCGCTAATAGAAGTGAGTGGTCCAGTAAGAATATTTTTAATATTCTCAAACGTTTTCTTCATTTTTGCTGTCCACACGAAAGGTACATCTTTCTTGATCGAAGCTTCGAATGGTACTTTGAGTCGATGCAAATTTGGCACAAATTTCCCATAGTAATTTATCAGACCTAAAAACGAACGTATTTCTTTTGCATTCGTCGAAGCTCGCATTGTTTGGATAGGTCGAAGACAATAAATCCAAGATATTTAACTATTGAAGTATGAAATTTATATTTTTCCTTTTGGAGTCGAAAACCCCACGCACGGCGTGTATACGCGTATCATGCTCTGTGCGTTCCTGGCCATAAATCAGAATATCATCAAGATAGACGAATACGCCTGGAATACCTGTAAATGCCTGTTCTAGCATACGTTGGAAAATTGCAGGAGCTGGTTTTAATCCAAAAACCAACCGATTGTAAGCAAACAAACCTCGATGAGTATTTATTGTAGTTAGCTTCTTACTTTCCTTCTCCAGTCTTAGATGGAAATAAGCATCAGATAAATCCAGTTGTGAGAAAATAGAACTTCCTCGAAGTTTTGCCATAAGTTGCTCTATACCTGGGATTGGATAATTTTTCGCGTCAAGTGCGTCATTTAATCCTGTTGAGTAGTCTGCACAAATACATATTTTCCCATTTGCTTTGCGTGCAACTACTATGGGAGCAGCCCATTCCGAAAAGTCGATTGGCGTTAAAATTCCATTCTTAACGAGTCTATCCAGTTCTTCATTGACTGGTTCTTCTAATACGAGTGCGATTGGACGTCGTGGAATATGTTTCGATTTCGCATCTGGTTTAAGTCGCAGATTAACTGGCATCTTGGTGCATTCACCTGTCGAATTACTAAAAAGTTCTGTTAATTGTTTATGAAGTGAATTTATCGTAATCGTATTTATCATTGCAGATTTCCGACGACTCCTGTGTCATAGGTAATTAAGCCAAGTTCATCTATTGCTTGAGAGCTAATTAGTGCAGTTTCTAGACGATCAAGTATGATGACTGGTGCTTTTATCATATAGTCCTTGTAGCCAAGTGAGGCGTTAAAAAATCCCATGATATGCATTGGACCTGAGACATAACACATAAAGTAGTAAGAGGTTGAAGTTTTGGACAATCGATTCGTGTCCAAGTTTCTCTCCCGATCGTGGTTACGTCCGCTCCTGTATCCAACTACATTTTTAATGGCTTGTTATTGATAGTACATGCACGAATTTGCGATATCAATGTCCTGTGCTTAGAACACCTTGTAATCTGATAGTATTTATTTTATTTTGTTGCTTCGATAAGCAAACTCTAGCAATATGTCCCGTTTTCTTCCATAATCTGCATTCTGCTTTCTTAAAAGAACATGCATCCCGTCTGTGTTTTGCAGAACCGCAGCCATGGCGACAATGTAGTAGAATTTGTCTTTTTTTCGTAATGCAGTGTAGTAGGATTTGTTTTCTGTTCGTAATATTTATCTGTCTTTTTAGGTGAATTTTTTGTTGATTGGCAGACCGCGTTGATTTCTGAGAAGTGTTGTCCTTCAACGTGCATGACGTTAGCTGTTTGGTTCGCATGTGCGTAGCAGATTTCTCTAATGTCTTGAAATGTTCAGTTGTCTTTTTCTGCAACCTTGAAAAGAACTGTTCGCTTCGTGTAGTAGGTATAGACGAGAGCTGAATTTTGCAGAATTTTGAGTTGGTTGACATTGAAATTATCGAGTTCAAAGGCATCTCTTAGAACATTACTTTGTCAAGTATATCTATAGTCGTTGTTGGTGGGGAAGCACGAAAACTAAGAGCTTCAAAACGACGTTGAAATAACATTTTATTATCATGGAACTGTTTTTTGATGAGATGATTGACAAGATGTTGCACGAGATCTTTAAAAGACATCTCATGCGGTTTCTTCGGTGATAAATGACTGAGTAATTGTTGATACTTCCCGAGAACATGAAGAAGTAGCTCTTTGCTCTCCATCTCGGTTTAACCTTTCGGTCCTTTCACGAAAGTGCTTCTATGTCGTTCAAACCATAACATGAAGGTTTTACGAGCCGTGTAGTCAGATTTGAAAATTGTGACGATTTTGCATTATCGTCCGTTCTCAGTGTTCGATGTGTTTCTTGGTGGTTTTGTTTAAGGCCGTTGTGCGTTATTATTATGTCTTCAATACGCGAACAGTCCGAAGTAGTAATATAAGATTCAAGCACATCGTTTATGTTTCGTTCACGTCGACCACATCTATGCTTCTTCGACGGTCCGTCTTTCAATCGTCTCTTAAGACGTCTTCTTACCGTAGTGTCGTGTGCACAGTCGTGTCGTGTGCATAGTCGTGCCATGCTATGTGCTATGCTATGTGCTATGTCTCTGCACGTTGTCGTGCGAGCAATCGCTCTTGGTCGCGCAGTTCATCAATCAGTAGCGTAATGCTTAGCGCCTGGCTCAAAAAGCGCAATATACCCAATAGAATGTTATTGAGTAATGTGTAAATTATATTATCAGCAGCATAACAACAATTGTTGG